GCCTCATCACTCCCTTAGTCTGGTTGATAACAATGCATTGCTGGCATACTGGTCTGATAGAGGCTGACAAGTCCAAGACTGAGGTGCCAGCATGGTTGATTCTGGTGAGGGCCTCTTCCTGGCTATGTCCTCCTGTGTGCTATGTCTTCCTTCTTTTATAAGAGCTTTAATCTCAGCATGTCACAATCTAATCCTATTCTAATTATTTCTCCAAAACTCTGCCTCCTAATGTCATCCCTCCTAATGTCAGGGCTTGAAATTTGATGGGAAGCTACATAACATGAAGTCCACAATATACACAGTTAGCTAGATTCAGTCTGAGCCTCTCAATAGAAACAGGAAATCCTTCTCAGAACAGTCCTTCCTCTCTACGATAGCCCTGAATACCAGAAAATCTCTACTCAAGTCAAAGCTCATTACCCTGGTAAAAAGTTATGCCTAATTATAAATTTGGGTGCTATGCAGAGCAAGTCACATCCACATTCCTTAACCAAGTCCTCCCGAGACTTCTGTAGACAGATCTCAGCATCCTCCTGAGCTTAGATCTTTGCAGAGGAAAATCTGCACCAGTTGCTTAAATTTATTCTCTTACCATCATAATAAACCTTTCTGCATGCCACATTTTGTATACATGTATCTATAAGACACAGGTCATTCACTCGATGTGGATTCTATGGTCTAAATGTGCTTGTCCCATTGGAGAGAACAACTGACAAGCACCATTCCTTATCCTACCAACATGGCTTCTGGGATGCAGTTGAATGCTGCCATGCCTGCTTTCATAACTTAGTAAATCTCTATTTCCTACCTTGTGTTGGGCACAGTGATTGACATCAGAGATATAGTTGTGAAAAGGATCAAGTTCCTGCAGTAATCATCTATTTGGAAGCAACAGATAATAATCAGATAAACAGATGTCCTTTTTTAAAAAAGGAGGGAGAAGTTATATATGTAAGAAAAATGAAATAAGGTAAAGAGACAGTGAAAGATGGCTGTATTTCAGAAAGGATGATGAAAAATTAGTTCTTTGATTAAATGACAACTGGGCAGTCATCCACATGAAGTGAAAGATCTCATCTCAAAGATAAATGGTGAAAGAGCACAGGTAGTGGACATTTATGGCAAAGGTCCTTAGGAGAAAGCTTAGTTGGTGTAGAAAGGATCTCTGTGTGGTTTTGTAGAGTGAGCAAAGGTGACAGTGAATGGAGATTAGATTCGAGAAGTAGATCATGTAGTAAAAATAAAGAGTTCAATTTAGGACACGATGAATTTAAGGTGTCTATTAAACCTTCAAAGAGGGATTTCAAGTAGGCACTTGTGTGCACTGAATTCAGGGGAAGGGTCTGGGCAAGAGATATAAATATGGAATATTTAACTCACAAGACTGGCTTGTCTCACTCAGATTGCTGGCTTTGTTGGGTTAGATGGCTTCGTACGCTGATTCTGTTGCTCATTATATTTGTTTTCCAATGCAAAGGAAACAATGGATGTTTAAAAAGAAAGAACTCAGAATTGTCCAATAGATATGACACAGATATACTTCATAATTTCTGCTCTATGCTGACATTTTAACTACCCTTGTGTTCATGCTAATTCTTACCTCCTTCTCTCAGTCACAGTGGAAGGGAGCCCCTCTTCTGATCTGAGCTCAATACCTACTTTTGTAGTGTGGATCCCACCCTTGTTTGCTTCATCAAAACCTTGCTCCATGATTTAGTCTGTTGCCTCTTTATTTTATTTACTATTTATTTAAGAGGCAGACAGGAGAGAGTGAAAGAGAAAGAGAGAAAGAGAGAAAGAGAGAAAGAGAGAGAGAGAGAGAGAGAGAGAGAGAGAGAGAGAGAGATCCCATCCATATATTTATTCCCCAAATACCTACAATAGCTGATACTGAGCTGGGGTTGGGGCCAGGAACACAATCCATGTTTCCCACGCAGATGGCAAGAACACAATCACTTGAACCATCACTGCTACCTCCCAAGGTCTGATTTTGTGGGAAGCTGGAGTCAGGAATTGAGCCCAGGCACTCCAACGTGGAATGTAGTCGTCCTAACTGCTAAGCTAAATGCCTGCTCCATCTTTCTGTATTTTTATCCCTTTCCATTAATTGGCAATTTTCCTCACCATATAAGCAAGTCATAATTCTTATAAAACACTACATTTCCTTCACCATGTAGCTCCTGACCAATACCTCATGAAAATGTTATGCTTCTTTTAACCTACTTTAGGGGAATTCTTTCAAAATCTCCTTGTTGCTAAGTGACAAACACTTTTTGGTTCTTAACCTTATTTGAAATCTATGCAGAGACCACCATCTCCTTGCAGACTTTGTCCCTTCTTGGGTTCCTGTGCCACATATCATCCTTCCATGGCCCTCAATGCCATCTTCTCTGGGTTCTCTGCTTGAAGCTAACCCTTACTTGTGGTTTTTTTCAGAGTTCTGCTTCTGCTTTCAGCTCACTCTATGTAGACTCTTCCCTAGGTGAGTGATCTCATCCCTTCCATTGGATTTGGCTCCTGTCTGCTGATGGTTCTCAGATTCCTACCTCAAGATTTCTCTCTTCAGCTTTAGAAATACCAATCCAATAGGTACTAGGAGTCTCACAAACTGCTTGAGGCCAAAACTAGACTCTTCATATGTCCTCCTCCCCCAAATTGCCACTCTTACATTTCCCATTTCGGTGGATGGCATCATCACCCATCCATTACCCCAGCCCACAGTTCATCCCTGATGGCTCTCTCCCCCTAGATCCTGCCCCCTCAAGCTGTTGTATCTACCTGTTATTGTCAATAACTGCCTTAGCTCCCATGTCACCTTTTGTTTCCTGAACCACTGCAGCAATTGACACTCTCCTCCTCCATACAACAGCCAGAGTGATTGTTTCCGGATATAAATTTGATGCCTATCTAATGTATTCTTATCTCCATCATTATAAGTCTACCCTCCTGAGCCTGTTTTGCAGGACATGGTAGATCTCCCTTGGTTTATCCTTGCCTGCCTCTCCTACCCATTACTCATCCAGCTTAACTTATGTTTCATGACTTCACACATGAAGCTCCCTCTGCACTTCCACTGTAGTTAGCATCTTCCAATACTTCAAAGACCAACATGACTCTTGCCTTCTGTGGGAGGCCTTCATAATTCTTCAACTTGAGTTAGGCTTGCTGCAGCTCACTGATTGCAATAAGAACGGATAGCATGGTGCTTATCTTCCCTTTTTAGCTTTTCAGGTCCTCATACCTGGGGCTCTAGTCACTGCCAGACTTAGAGTAAGAGAGAGATGAGATAAGGAGAAAGAGTTTTGAGTTGGCCGGTGCCATGGCTCACAATAGGCTAATCCTCTGCCTGCAGCACCAGCACCCTGGGTTCCAGTTCCAGTCTGGGCGCCAGATTCTGTCCCGGTTGCTCCTCTTCCAGGCCAGCTCTCTGCTCTGGTCCGGGAATACAGCGGAGGATGGCCCAAGTCCTTGGGCCCTGCACCTGCAAGGGAGACCAGGAGAAGCACCTGGCTCCTGGCTTTGGATCAGCACAGTGTGCTGGCTGCAGCGGCCATTGCGGGGTGAACCAATGGAAAAGGAAGACCTTTCTCTCTGTCTCTCTCTCTCATTGTCCACTCTGCCTGTCAAAAAAATAAAAAATAAAAAAAAGTAAGTTTTGAGTTGATTTGGAACTGCCCTGATAATTCTGAAATTGTACAGACTATTCTCTACTGGAGTTAAAGATGATCTCTTATGAAATACTTTTGCTATCTTTAATTCTTAAAAATGCAATCTGATAATCTTTTCCATTTGATTGATTTGCTTATCTCATTCACATTCAATGTAATTACTACTGTAATTAAGTTTGATTTTATCATTTTGCTATTTTTTATTTGTCCCAAATGTTCTTTGTTTCTTTATTCCACATTTCCTGTCATGTTTGAATTTGTTAAGAGCTTTTAATTATTCCCCTCATATTCTTTATTGTATTTTGAGTTTTATTGTTTTGTATTCCTTTGGTTGTTACTCTGAAGCACAAGTTGGTAAATATTGAATTTTTAAACATTTAAAAAAACAAATAAGAATACGAAATAGTGACTGTATATGGCTTGCAAAGCCTAAGATATTGTCTGGCTCTATGCTGATGTATCTCTCTCTCTCTCTCTCTCTCTCTCTCTGTCTCTCTGTCTCTCTTCTCACCTCCCCCCTCTCCTCCAGAGCACTAAAAGTGCCATTTTATTGTCCTCTCTTGTCTCTCATTGTTGAACATTTGAAGCTAATGTATTCTTATCCTCAGTCCCTTGGAAGATAATGTCTTTGGTATTTCATTAATGTTTTTTCTCTCAGTAAGCCCTTCTTGGGAGCTTATTGGGAAGCATCTTTATTCTTTTGGTAGATATATTTCCTCCATTTGGGGAAAATTATTGGGCATTGTTTAACATTATTTGTCTCTCTTCTTTCATCACTCACATCAGATTTATGAAGGCAAATGACTTGAACTCTAAATGGAGTAAATATGTTTCCAAATAACAGCTATTTTCCAGGTATCTCAAGCTTGGATCAGATACCTAATAACTGTCTCTTAAGTTTCAGGGTACCCATCAAGTCCTTTAAGTGGTCCCTCTGGGGCGGTTTTAGAAGGGGTAAAGAATTGCCAGTTGGTGTAAAAGTAACAGCAAATACTATATCCTTAAAGGTCCAATTATTGATCTCTTTGAAATGTTTTATTAGCTCTATGAGGTATGAAGTACAAGACATAATTTTGAACCCTCTTTTTGCAAATTTTGCATTTTGAAATTTATTATTTGGGATCTCAGAATAAACTAAGATTACATAGTATGATATTAACATGCTATTTCACATGAAAGAGAAACTGGTCCCCAGATTTGTGGATGACCTAATATGCACTTACTTTGCTACTGGTGTCAGGAACTCCTGATATAGCATAGCAGCAGGGTTAGAACCTGGAGCTCTCAGTTCATGAATGATGGTTCTGCTTTTGTCTCTGCAGCAGGAGAAGCATGGATGAGTTCCTCTGGAGAAATCACAGCTCCCTTACTGAGTTCATTCTTCTAGGGTTCTCTAATAACCAAAAGATAAATGTTATTTTATTCAGTATCTTTCTCTTCCTCTACCTCATCACCCTCCTAGGCAATGGGTTCATTATTACCTTGATACGCATGGATTCCCGCCTCCACACACCCATGTACTTTTTCCTCAGTGTCCTATCCATCCTGGACATAGGCTATGTCACCACCACGGTGCCTCAAATGCTGGTGCATCTGGTTTGTGAGAAGAGGACTATCTCCTACGTTGGATGTGTAGCCCAGATGTACATCTTTCTAATGCTAGGAATCACTGAATCTTGGCTTTTTGCCATCATGGCCTATGATAGGTATGTGGCCATTTGCCATCCCCTCAGGTATAAAGTCATCATGACCCCTTCTCTGTGTGGGTCAATGGTGGCTTTTTGTGGGTTCTGGGGTATCAGCTGCGCCCTGATATACACTGTCTCTGCTATGATTCTTCCCTATTGTGGCCCCAATGAGATCAATCACTTCTTTTGTGAAGTGCCTGCTGTCTTGAAGTTGGCCTGTGCAGACACATCTCTCAATGATCAGGTGGATTTCATTCTGGGCTTCATACTTCTGTTGATTCCACTGTCCCTCATCATCATTGTCTACATCAATATCTTTGCTGCCATCTTGAGGATCCGGTCAACCCAAGGGCGGCTCAAGGCCTTCTCCACTTGTGCCTCCCACATCACTGTGGTCACTATGTTCTCCATCCCATGTATGGTTATGTATATGAGACCCGGCTCTGAGTCATCCCCAGAAGAGGATAAAAAGCTGGCTCTCTTCTACAATGTCATCTCGGCATTCCTCAACCCCATCATTTACAGCCTCAGGAACAAAGACGTAAAGAGGGCTTTCCTCAAGGTGTTAGGCTGGGGGACAGTGTCAGAATGAAGTCGTGGTACCAGCAAGTACCAGCAACCAAACTAGGGACACAGCTTATATGACTTCTTCATTCGAATTCCTTCTATCATCCAGTGGGAACACATGAAATATTAATGGGATAGAATAAGTGAAATTATGTATGGGAAACTATGACAGTAGGTGCCTCTCAACAAGAGAACTCTACACAGTAGATTTCATAATGTTAGATCTCATATCTGACTCATCTCTGTGTCATAAGTTAATAATACCTGGTCAATAACTGGCATCAATATTCATATTTTTCTATTAATAAATGAACATATGATTGAGTGCTTGAGCTCTGGACTCATGAAATAAATTCAAATTGAAGGATGCAAGGTGACTCCCAGACTCCCAGATCAGTAACAAAACTATGTTTCAATCAGAGGCATGGCAAGTTCTGAAGAAAGAACAATTTAAGATAAACCAGTGGTAGTCAGATAAAATAGGATACAGGAAAGTAATAGAGGGCAGTTTTCATCCAATGCTATTGGTAGAGTATAGATTTAGGGTATGTTCAAAGAGAGGAGCTCTTTTTCAGAGAAGTGGTATTTGTAGGGAAGAACAGAATCTCCTAGTAATTGGGTAAAAAAATCATCACTCCACTCAGATTTTTCATAATGTATTTTCAAACTTAGGAACACAAAGTGAACCACAGATATTTGAGGAATGGAGCTTGATGAGTTTGGACACATGTATAATATACCTTTGGAACCATCACCATAATCTAGATCATTACTCATCCCCAAAAGTTTCTTGACGTTTCAATCCCTTTGAATTCATTACTTACTACGATGCAACAAATTACCCCAGATTTCATGTCTGAAACTACAAATGTTTATTTTATCAGTTTCTGTGGATCAAGAATCTCAGTGAAGTTTAGGTGAGTCCTCCGGATTAGTGGCTCTCACAAAGCTTCCATCAGGCTCACATTCTCCTTGTTGCCAAGTATCAGTTCCCGGTGGGCTGTTGGCCTCAGGGCCTTTGTTCCTTCTTGACTATTACACAGACCATCCACACATTGCTGTGTGGGCTTCTCCATAGAGTAGCAGCTTCATCAGAGAGAGCAAGCGGGAGAGCAAGAGAGAGGCTATGAACACTATGGAAGCCTAGTGTTCTGTGGCTTAATTATGAAAACGACTCTCATCACTTTGGGGATATTATTTCCATGAAAAGTGAACTAACAGGTCAGGTCCACACGTAAGGGGAGGAGACTAACAAAATCAAAAGCTTGGTTCAGGGCTGGCACCTCGGCTCAATAGGCTAATCCTCTGCCTGCGGCAACAGCACACCAGGTTCTAGTCCCGTTCGGGGCGCTGGATTCTGTCCCAGTTGCTCCTCTTCCAGTCCAGCTCTCTGCTGTGGCCCAGGAAAGCAGTGGAGGATGGCCCAAGTGCTTGGGCCCTGCACCCGCATGGGAGACCAGGAGAAGCACCTGGCTCCTGGCTTCAGATCAGCGCAGCGCGCCGGCCGCAGCAGCCACTGGGGGGGAACCAACGGAAAAGGAAGACCTTTCTCTCTGTCTCTCTCTTGCACTGTCCACTCTGCCTGTCAAAAGAAAAAAAAAAAAAAAGAAATGTAGAATACTTGTATGCTACCCCCTACCACACACACAGGTACTGTGGAATCAGAATTTGTACTTTAAAAAAAAGTAAAGATTTTATTTATTTATTTGACAGGTAGAGTTACAGACAGTGAGAGGGGAAGAGAGAGAGAGAGAGAGAGAGAGAGAGAGAGAGAGAGAGAGAGAGAAATGTCTTCCTTCCGTTGGTTCACTCTCCAAATGGCCGCAATGGCCGGGCTGCACCAATCTGAAGCCAGGAGCCAGGTGCTTCTCCTGGTCTCCCATGTGGGTGCAGGGCCCAAGCACTTGGGCCATCCTTCACTGCCTTCCCGGGCCACAGCAGGGAGCTAGACTAGAAGAGGAGCAACTGGGACAGAATCGGCGCCCATATAGGATGCTGGCGCCGCAGGCGGAGGATTAACTTAGTGCGCCACAGCGCCGGCCCCTGTACTTTACATTTATACTACTTCCTACAGGTGATTCAGGGCTGAAAACAAGATTGAAGCAACACAGCTGATACAGCACTTGTGTCAGCTGATACACCACTTGTGTCAATGATCTTTGCTATAAGCTCCAGCCTTTTGTAAAGCTAGGTAGTGAATAAGGCTTTTAGAAAAATCGAAAGGAGAAAGGTTAAGTTCTTGGACACAGATGTGGCTCCAGTCTTGTGATCTCATTAACTAGCTGACTCACCATTCACAGTGCGTCTCACTTCTGATGCTGTCTGACCTTAGCCTGGGGAGAGCCTGAACTGGGCTTGTGGTCTCCTTATTTGCAAGGCTCCTCTTTATTTCAACACAGCTATGTTGGGTTGGCAGAAAGGAAAAGGAAAGAAAGTACTAATTTTACCTTAAAGAAAAACAATCTACTTCCCTCCAGCAATCACTTGTTTTCCTGCTCCCTCCAGGAGAATATCACCTACAAAGAGTTGTCCATACGTCTGATTTCAATTCTTGTCTTGTAATTCTGTCATAAACACACTCAGTTGGACCAGCGTTGTGGCACAGAGGATTAAGCCATTGCCTGCAACACCATCATCCCATATGAGCGCTGGCTACTCCACTTCCAACCCAACTTCCTGCTAATATGCCTGGGAGAGAAGCAGAAGATGATCCAAGAACTTGGGCCTCTGCCACCCACCTGGGAGACCTGGATGGAGTTCCAGGCTTCTGGGTTCTGCCTGGCCATTTCAGCCATTTGGACAGTGAGCCAGCAGATGCATGATCTCTTTTTCTCTGTTGTTGCTCTTAGTCTTGTCATTTCTGGCCAACAGCATTTGATATGGCTGACCTTTCTGTCCTTTTTGAAGCGTTACTTCTGAGTTTCCAAGACTCCACACTCTGTACTCGGTAGCTAGTTCTTCGTACGTTCCCCCCCCCCCCCCCCCAACCTCTTAATTTTTAACTGGTCGGGCTTAGTTTCTTGTTCCTATTGTCTTTGTACATCACTTTCCTGTTAATCTTATCTGTTCCCACCTCTTTAAAAAATTGCTGTATGCTTTTGACTATCCAACTTTCTTTTCAGCCTGGAAATATATCTGCATAACTGTCAAGGTGGCCCTGACCACCGCAGGGCGCAGGCCTTCGCTGATCGCTGGCAGTGACGCACCGGGGCCAGCACAGCGGGCCGTCGGTGGCCGGGGCTCAGGGGCCCAGTGGAGTGGGAAGGGCTAGGTGGCTCCCCGTGATGGTGTGAGAGGTGTGAAAGGAACGAGCAAGCGTGACTCGGTAAGCAGAGACCCCGCAGGTCGGGGCGGCGGGGATCCCCAGCAGGCCAAGGTGACCAGGGTGACGCCCCGCTCTGGAATGAGAAAGAGGTCCGATTCCGCTGTGATACAAAAACAGAGAAAGACGATTTTTGGTTAAAAAAAAAAAAAAAAAAGAAGCTACTCAAGAGTTAAAATAGTTACTTTAAGTTAACAAAGAAAATTAATCTTCATGTAAGCGGACACTATCTGGAAAACTCATCCATCCCCGCAAACCCACGCGGGACGACTGCCCCACCCTCCCGGCCCTGGGCGCGCCGCGGAGGAGCCGCTGGGAGCCGGCCGCGCTGGCCGGAGGAGGAGACGTCTTTACAGAAGGTACAGCGCCGCAGGGCCCGGCCCGACACCGGCTTACAGTAAGATGCACGGGGCCTTCCGAGGCCGGAGGGCTCCGCGGGCGCTGCCAGCGGCTCTGATGGGCGTCTCCTTCCTGTTCTTGCTCGGCGACGGCTCCGCGGGCTCCTGGCCGGTCTCGGGCTGCTCCGGGCCGCTGACCCTGGGCGGCTGGCCAGCGGCGCTCTGGCTCCGCGTCCTCCCGCACCTGCAGCCCGCATGTGGCTCGCTGCATCCGAAGCGCACCTCCGGGACGGCCTCGCGCTTCTGTGACCTGCCTGGTTCGAGTGATTGTTCTTGACTTGCCGCTCTTCCTTCCGCCTCTGCAATCTTCCAGGGCGCTCTGCAGCTCCTCCTCCCCCGCGCTCTCCCTCTCACTGTCGGAGGACGAGGGCTGGGTCTCGCTCGCCGCGCTGCCCACCACTCTGATTCTCCGCCGCAGGAGCTGCCCCATGGCCAGCGGCTCCTTCTGTTCGGTCAGGATCTCGTTCCCCTGGGCAAGGAGAATATTTCTGACTTCTCCATTTCATTCATCTCTTCTCTGCAAACGCCCTCTTCGGAGAGGCTGGCTATCTCTTGTAGATCTTGGTTTCACACTCTCCTCTCTTAGCTTCTCTCAATTTTCTTTTGAGAACTATCAACATTCTCTGGACTTCCCATAATCTCTCTTCTTTAGACAAATCCTTTATCCCACCCTGCAGATCGCGATGTGAACAATTCAAAAGAAACTCCCGCCCCCTGGTCTCCTCTTTGATGCCCGCCTGGGGGTCTCGGGCAGTGTGGGCGCAGTGGTGTGTTAGAACATGGCAGAGATTTAGGCCGGTGCCGCGGCTCACTAGGCTAATCCTCCGCCTTGCGGTGCCGGCACACCGGGTTCTAGTCCGGGTCGGGGCGCCGGATTCTGTCCCGGTTGCCCCTCTTCCAGGCCAGCTCTCTGCTGTGGCCAGGGAGTGCAGTGGAGGATGGCCCAAGTCCTTGGGCCCTGCACCCCATGGGAGACCAGGAGAAGTACCTGGCTCCTGCCTTCGGATCAGCGCGGTGCGCCCGCCACAGCGCACCGGCAGTGGCGGCCATTGGAAGGTGAACCAACGGCAAAAGGAAGACCTTTCTCTCTCGCACTGTCCACTCTGCCTGTCAAAAAACAAACAAACAAAACAACAACAACAACAAAAACACGCAGAGAGATCTTTCCGAAGAGCTCTTGCACATGTGTGACACGCACATACAGGACCCGGCTGCTGGCCTGCACAGCTGGGCTGCGCACTGCAGAGAAGTTCTCATGTTCCTCTGGGTCTCCAGCTCCTTGATAGTGACGCGGTCCGTGTGCACAATGAGCCCGGAAATCGGAAGGTGGTTACACTCCCGCGGCTCCCAGGGCAGGCGCTGGAACTCCTGCAGGGCCTCGCCCCCAGTTGGTCTCCCACAGGCCTCCTCAGATCCGGGCACTAGCTCTCTGGTGAGCAGATTCTCTGGACGGTCTCGCAAATACTGCTTCTGCAAACTGGCGACAGTGCTGGGCTCTTCTTCCGAGTTTGGAGACTCCCCTCAGTCGTAGGCTGCTTT